TCATGTGAACCCCCCCCCCCCGGGTGACTCGGGCGATATGCGGAAATATAGCCTCGCAAAAATTGTGAAGCGTGAACATTCCAAGGGGAAGCATTCTTCTAGGCAATGTCGTGTTTGCACAGTTCACAGAAAAAGGAGCATGATTGCCTACATTTGCAAGTTATGTGTAATGCCACTTCACAAAGGGGAATAGGAATATCACACTCACAAGCACTTCTAGGAGCATTGGTAGGTGTTCTCCAAAAATTTTAGTTCATAAAATTAATTATGAGATTTTATATTAATTTTTAAAGTGAACAGTGCACAAGTTAGGGTAGTAGGTTTAAAAATGCCGGTCCCCAGGGTGATTTAACTGTTTAAATTGCCGGTCCTCAAAGTGTTAATACCAGTCTTATGCTGAATGTGACTTATGCCCAGTTTTGCACAAATCATTCTAAGAATTTGTGGCGAGGGATGTTTAGATAAGAGCTGCTAGAAAGGTCCATGACAGCTGGTGGCAACATTAGCAGCTTACTCACTGCCACCAACCTGATTAAAAGAAACTTCCAGAATGTTAAATGATATAATGATAAAAACTCCGTCTCAAGTGCAAACAATATATTTTGTGTCTTTGATCTTCTTCCCCCACACCACATGTTTCGGCCTCAGCTATCAACTTCACTTCGTTGATAATAACAAGGAAAGTGTTTTTAAATGTTAAATTTTGAGCTGGGTGCAGTGTGACAGCGACGTGAGTGTTATACACCTGATGATGGCCGTCTGAGGCCGAAACATGTAGTGTAGGGAGCAACATCACAGACACAAAATATATTGTTTGCACTTGAGACAGAGTTTTTATCATTATATCATTTATCGTATGGAGTGCAACAGGATGCTTAAATATAATATTCCAGAATGTTCTCGAACTATGAAACAGTACAAGAAGCTTCGAGAAAGATCCAGAAAGAGAAGGTTCTAGATGTTACATCATCTTACTGTATTTAAAGGATTGATCCCGGATGGCGAAGACAGCCAAGTACACACTCAGTAACTCAGTGAGTCAGTCAATTGACAGTCTGTGAGCGAACATGTAGTGTTGTAAATATTGAAGTTGTATGGTGTATCAGTGATTGTGAGTAACTGTTGTAAGTCGTGTAGTGCTGTTAATAAAGAAATTATTGATATCGAGTTGTGATTCAGAGACTTCTTCAACAAAATAATCTCTCTTGTCGGAGTAAGGCCTGTTAAGCCCTGAAGAGAATCTCATTGCTTGAACCCAGGACATTGTCCTCCTCCTCCCAAGACACCTCGACGTGGTTATAAGACCATGTCACCAACAAGGATACAGAAGGACTGTTACAAGTGGTGCCCTGTGCAAGGCTACGTCAAAAGGATGCTTACGAATGGCATCCAACGTGAGGGATCTCTAAGAAACATTCAAAAGGACGATTACAGGTGGAATTCTGTCTTGAGATATTTAAAAAAAAACGGTTTTTTTTTGTCTTTTTTTTTTTTTTTTTTTTTT